AGGCGGGGAGGAGCGGGTGCAGGGCCGGGAAAGCCGCCAGCCGGGACGTGGAGGAATGCCAGGACGCTGAGCGCAGGGCCTCCTTCGGCTCCGCGTGGCCATCGCTTCCCTAAATAGACGGCTGCGGGGTGGGAGGATTAGCTGGGGGCATTCCTCTGCCCCCGGCTGCTGACCCCGGGACACGGTGCTCATCGCTATATTAAATCCTGCGCGCCACAGGTTGCTCTTCACGAGTCCTTCGCTCCAGGTGCCAGGGCTCCTCCTCCTCCCTCCGCACCTTCAAACACCGCAGGGGGTTTGCAGACGCCGACTCTGGGTTTTGGTTTGTTCCGCTCCGATTTGTCAAGGGGGGCGGGGGGGGTTGTGCTTTTCCCTTTCGACGCCCCCTGGCACCGCTCGCCGAGCGCCAGGGTATTTATAACCCCCCCAGCGAGGTTAAGGGCCGCTGCCTGCCGGTTCGCGAACGCTCCGTGCCGGCCCGATGACGGGGCTGGTTGGCGCGCGCGGTTGAACCCACGTGGTTTCACCGGAGGAGCCGAGGGCCTGGCTCCGGGTTTCGGCGTTGTCAGACGGGTGCCGTGGGCAGGGGGTCAGCCCCACCGCGGGGCTCTGCCCATGGGGGAGAGCGGCTGTAGGACGGGGGTTGCGTGGGAACCCACCGGGCTGTGCCCTCGACTGGGTCCCAAAGGTCCTGGGGTCGGGAGAAGGCATCGAAATAAATTGGGAAGGAGCTGTTGGGGTAAGCTTGGAAAGGCTCTGTGTTTCCATTTCTTGCCACCATCTTCCCGCGGTCCGAGGTAAACTGAGGCAGGGCGTCAGTCGGTCTTTCCCACCGGGGCACGGTGTTACACCTTCGGAGCAGCCCCCTGATGGCTGGGTCAAGGCTGCTCCTCTCGCCCGTAAAAACCGGAGTCGTGCTCTTGCTGCTCACCCTTGGGCTCCTCCAACCTCCCGCATCGTTCCTCGTGCCGGAGACGCCGCGTCTCCCTCTTCCCTGCGCTCCCGCACGCAGCTCCGTATCCTTCGGCACACCACCGGGGGTGCAGCCCAACCTCAAAGGGCTTCCCCACTTTCACCCGCGGGACCTCTTGTTCCACCTGAGGGACCTCAGGCCACCTCGCGGTCCTCCCTCGGAGCCGTCGTCACCACCAATGCTGCTCCCGGGAGAGGTTCGCCACCCCTGGTTCTCCATCCCTCGGGTCCGAATCCCCCCGCTGCAGGTCCCAATCCACATGCTGGGCCTGGTGAATCCACAACCTCACCCACAGCTAGAAAAATTCCCGTATTTTGGATTTTTTTTTTCGCCACGCTGATCAAGCGCGGGTTTGCCGCGCGCTCCTCCCCGACCGCGGCTCCGGTTGCTGTCACTGCCCTCCTTCGGGGCAGGATCTAGGATGAGGGCTCATGCATTTACGCTTTGGATTTGGGGTTGGGTTTTTTTTTCTGGTGGTGTCGCCCCTTTTTGGAAACCACCTGAGGAGAGGGCGGGACGCGGGCCGTGCTCCCAATGCGCCGCTGAGCCTTGCTGTGTTTCCGGAGCAGCGTTCTCAGAGGGACTCGCGATGGAGCCGACCGCCCTGCACTGGAGCTGGCATCCCGGGGCAAAGCTGGAGTTAGGAATTCCCGATGGATACCTTCAATCCTTAATTTAACATCCCCGGGGCCCTCTGTGCAGCTGAGGTGGGAGCAGGCCACCTCTCGCAGGCGCAGCCAGGACAGACCCTTCCCCACCGCCTGCGTTCCACAAGCCACGGACCTCCCCGGTGAATCTGGGTTTGAACAGCCGTGCATTCCCTAGGAAAAACACCCAATTCCGTGGCAAAACCACGTAGTCCTGCCCGGCGAGCTTCCTTCCACCGGACTTTGCCTCCCTGAACGAGGCAGACAGCTTGAGGACAGAGTCCTCCAGTCTTCCACACCGCACCAGCTCCTTCGTGGCGCTGGTTGCTCTCTGGCTCCATTGTAGGTTCTCCAGCTCCTTCGTGGCGCTGGTTGCTCGCCAGCTCCTTCATGGGTTCTCCAGCTCCTTCATGGATTGGTTGCTCTCCAGCTCCTTCATGGCATTGGTTGCTCTCCAGCTCCTTCATGGCGTTGGTTGCTCTCCAGCTCCTTCATGGCGTTGGTTGCTCTCCGGCTCCTTCGTGGGTTCTCCAGTTCCTTCGCAGCACTGGTTGCTCACCGGCTCCTTCGTGGCACTGGTTGCTCTCCGGCTCCTTCGTGGGTTCTCCAGTTCCTTCGCAGCACTGGTTGCTCACCGGCTCCTTCGTGGCACTGGTTGCTCTCCGGCTCCTTCGTGGGTTCTCCAGCTCCTTTGTCGCGTTGGTTGCTCTCCAGCTCCTTTGTGGGTTCTCCAGCTCCTTCGCGGCGCTGGTTGCTCACCGGCTCCTTCATGGGTTCTCCAGCTCCTTTATGGCGCTGGTTGCTCTCTGGCTCCTTCACGGCACTGGTTGCTCTCCGGCTCCTTCGTGGCGTTGGTTGCTCTCCAGACCCCTCGCAGCGCTGGTTGCTCTCCAGACCATCGCAGCTTTTCTTCCAGGGGCGTATCTCAAGGGACTCACAAAGGTTTTAAGCTAAAACCAGCACCTAAACAGTGTCCGTGACTTGGCAGGGGCTGAAGCTGGGGGTGGGATGATCGATATGCCAGCAGGCAAATAAAATTCCCTCTTCCTTGTCCAAATACCAAGGTCATCTTCTCCGCAACTTCTCTGCTGTCCGGGGCACGGGACAAAGAGGTAAACAAGGCTACAGCCAAAAAACTAGTTAATAAGTGATATATTCTCCTAATTCTCCGCTTTTGGTAGAGTTGGGAGGTGTAATTCCTGAGGATTCAGCACTTTGAAAAGCCAGGACGCTTCATGTGCCGCCATACAGAACCCGGGGCCGTGCGACGATCTGATCTCACAGGCGATGGGTGGTTGTGCCCGTTCTCAGCCCAGGGTGTGAGCAAGCCAAGAGCTGTGCAGGAAGGAAGTGACGCTAAACATCCACAGCGTCGGCAAAACCAAACCAGGGGGGTGGCGGGATGGGGGACCTGGAAACAAGGGAAGGATTGGGAGAGGGTTTTACCTCACGGGAAATAGCGGGGAGTGAGCAGAGTGTCCAGCTGAAAATACCTGGTAAACTAAAAAAAAGAAAGGATGAAAACGGTCTGGCCGCTGGGGAAAAGGGCTTTGATGAGGCTCTCGGAGCTCAGGGTGTCTTCAGCTGGCAGAAAAGGAGGAGGAGAGGTGGTGGTGTTGTTTCTGCAGGAAAAGGTACGGTCGTCAAACGACCCTAAAGGCAGCGGAGAGCATCAGAACGAGACATCACAGTAAGGAACGATGGCCACAGCGTGAAGAGCTGGGCAGATCAGGTGGGAATTGAGACACGGCATTTGATTCCGGTGAGGATGATCGGCCCACGGGGCCCGGCTGCTGAGGAAGAGGTGGCTCCCCCGTCACTGACTTCTGCCCTTGTCCCTCTTGGAGACGTCAAAGCTTGCAGGCCCCATCTCCTGGGCCAGGATTTAGCGCTGAGTTAGATTTAGGAGGCCGTAAGCGTGGAGATATTTTAATCAAGTAAAACTTTCCAGGCAGCCGGTGAAGGACGTGCTGCTGAGCTGCTCCCGAGAAGTTGCGGGTAACTCAGGAGGAAGAGCCTCAAGTGACTACGGAGTCCTCCTCATTGTGGCCTTCACCGGATCGACGTCGGTTTAAGTGTAGTCAGAAACCTGGGCCAGGGGCTGAGCTGAGTCACCGGCCTGATCCCAGGTCTCGTGAGCCGGCCAGTGACGGCTCCCTCGTTCCGTCGTCCTCCGAGCCCTCTGCTCAGATCACAGCGTGTCCTGCAAATCCACACGTGGGATCGCACCGCGCCCAGATCCTTCCATGCCTTGGGATCAGTTGCCAGCCCCCTCGGGAGGGGAGGCAGGTCCTGGTGCCGGGGTAGTCCCCTCCTCTGGGCT